CTCTGGCTCCAAGACTGGCACTTGGAGCTGCCGGGTCGTGAGAGCTCGGGTCCATGGCGGCTGGAGCAGAGTGAGCTGGTGGCCAGGGCAGCGCCGCAGCTGTTCACCTGCCTGTCCACAGCCCTGCGGGTTGCAGTCCTCTGCCCAGGTGGCGCTGCTTCGAGCTGAGCGTGGCCGTGTCATTCTGTGCACTTCAGGCCACCGTCCACTGCGTGTAGGATGGAGTTCAGGCACACATGTGTCCTGGAGTGGTCTTGGTGTCACGAACCCCCCACTTCGGGCAATCAGATAAAGTCACTGGCTTATTTCACAAAGGGGACTTCAGCTGCTGGCCTTCACTAATGACTTGTTAACAGGAAACGAGTCGTCATGCGGTGCGACAGGTTGCCCTCAAGTACCGCGAGAGGACGGAGTGACCCTGCACACACCGCCTCCAGGTGTTTTCCAAAGTGCCCAGAGCCCATGAGGGCAGAGAGTGGTAGGCGCTTGCACGTGAGAAGCCGTCAGTGGGGACAGCGCTCCTGTTCCGGGGCAGAGACGGAAGTCACGTCAGACTGCTGGTCTGTGTGTGGAAAGCATTAGAGACCTTGGCCGCCTCTGGTGAGACTGGAAGTGTGTTCGCTGTTAGTCACTGAGCGCGTGTCGGGGTTCTCGGGTACAGGTACGGGCGGGAAGGAGCAATGCGCCAGTGTGACGGTTTGCCCAGGACCCCTCACACGTGGCACGGGAGGCTCCCTGGCTGTGCCGAGCCAGCTCAGCTGCCCCCACGGTGCCGCCACAGTCCCCGAGCCACTGGTTTTCCTCAGTTAAAGCATGATGTTATGCATTTTCTTAGAAATGCAAGTAGCTGCTTGTGGAACCCTAAGCTGTATACTTAGGGCAGAGGCAATGTCTCTTACCCTTTTATTTTTTTTTTGTTTCTGACGTCATAATTGGTCTGTTCTGGAAAGAATTTTAACTGATATTAAAATAGGGTGAATGAATTCACATAAAAAGAAATTGACTCGCTTATGAGAAAATAAACGAGTTTTTGAATTTCTGAAGTGCAAGCCCTCTGTGTGTGGTTTTGGCAGATGCGATAACTCGCAGTGACCACAGCTGGGGAACTGGGTGGGCAAGTGAGGAGAGGAGGCAGGTGTCCGCCCGGCAGCGAGGCGTCAGGCCAGGTCCTCCAGACGCTGGCGGATGGGGGCGCAGCTCGTCAGCCCTGAGCTCAGACTCAGCTCCGTGGCCTTCAGCTATTCCCACTTTCCAAGTGATGCTAGGATTACGGAGTTTTAGATGAAATTCCCAATTCTGCTTCGGGGCAAGAACATATTTTGTTAGCTAAGTGAGAAGTCTTTCTATGCTCTCAACCTGGACCTCAGGCCCCAGCCTATGGGTAGGGCTTGGCTTACCCTTGTAACGGCACATGTGCACACACGCTGACTTGCCTAGGATTCACTCGTGTTTCAGTTTGGCCCGGCGATTGGGGACTGAGCGCTGTTGGGACGAGGGACGGTCACCAATGTGGGGGTCTCAGCGTCTGCCTGCCTAAGGGTTCAGCACAGCTCGGCAGGGATCTTGGAGCAGACAGCCGGAGCTCAAGGTCGTAAGGAGGCCCTTCATGCCAGAGGCCCCAGGTGGGTTCCATGGGGACCCTCAGAAGGCAGAGCCTGCTCCGAGCCGTAGCACAGGGGTGTCCCACCAACATCTCAGCCTATTGGACCTGTGCTTAAATCTCATGCCAGAAAGGCTAGAAGCTTGAAAACCAGTGTCCAGCCGCATTGTGACACTTTTCAGAAGAACTGGTAAACATGAGGGGTTCTTTACCAGACCCCGCCTGGGCTTTCCCTGCGTTCCCCATCTCGAGTTCAGATTGCCGGGTGTCCATGCATGTCCGTACTTCACCCTGGAGTTCAGTTTCAAGTGGTCAGCAGTAAGCGTGTGAAGATAGTGTCCCCTGGGGGCCAGCAGTTAGCGTAATGGCTATGTCACTGGACTCCCACGTAGTTGACCGCGGTTCGCGTCCCGGACCCGGTGGCTTAAAGTCACACCGGGTGCGTGTGCGTGTGCGTGTGTGCCCAAGATCCCGAGAGGAGAATGGAGGAGAAGGGATTGCGGCATGGCCATCCCCCCTGGAAGGTGATTTCTTGTTTTCTCTCTCTCTGTCTCTGTCTGTCTGGTGAGCGCACGCGCCCTATAGCAAAAACCTCTCCCAAAAAAAAGAAAAGAAAGAAAAAAAAAGATAGTGTCCCCTGCATTGTAGAGGAAATAGGGAGGTTTTCGACTGGCTGTCCTTGGGGAGCATTCTAGACAGACTGCAGGGAGGTGGGGGTGAGGGCATGGTGGAGCAGTCATCTCTGGCTTCTCAGGTGTGTGGGTCTGTGTGCCTGAAGTGAGGTCTCACAGTAATGCCAGGAGTCCAGGTGGACTTTGGAGTGAAGGACATGTCACCTCCTTGACCTGCCCACGTGGCAGGGGTCTCTGCACAAAACCCATACGCGCTCCGGTCACAGCGAAGGAGCCACCTCCCTGCTGCGTGTGTCTTCTCATCGTGAGCTCCTGCCTCTTCTCAGCCTTGCCTTCTTCCTGTAACTCGTCCTAAAAATATTAGCCACATCCTGACGCCTGACTGTTGGAACTCACATGACAAAGGTGGGAACAGCCCAGGAAGCCCAGGGCCAGTCTTGGGGACACCTCATCCCCTGAATGCAGCACTGATTGGTCAGTGTTTGGGATTGGCCCCCCAGTCACCTGGAGGAAAAGCACAGAGAGCAGGCTGGCAGGACTGGCACCAGAACCAGCCACAGGCCCAGAGTACCGAGGAGAAAGTGGGTCACCCACGCAAGCCTCCAGCAGCAGCGGCGCACAGCCACTCCCCAGGACTGCTCGGGAGGGCACCGAGAACAAGCACCCACCTCCCACTGGTGCTCCTGTCCCTGTTGATTGAGCCCAGCAAGAAGCCAGAACGTGTAGGAGCCAAGGGATGCAGGCCACAGGGTGCCCTCCTAGGAGGAGGTGGGGCAGAAAGCGGGTGCGGGCTACAGGAGGAGCCCTGCTGTGCCCCCTGCGGAAGCAGTGTCTCATCTGCACCACAAGGTTCCCAGTGCACTAAGGGGACCCAGCCCAGCACAGTGACCAGAGGACAGCTGCAGGTGGCCTCCATGTTGACCCGTGGAGATCACCAGGAGGACTACAGTCTTCCCCTTCCTGCCTCCTCGCTGGCCCGGGGCCTCTCCTCCAGGTCTCTGAGGGGCCACGTCTTGGCCAGCCTCCCCGGGCGCCTATGAGGATTGGTCGATGTGGGGGCTGACACGGCACTGTCCTTCAGGAATGGGCCAGTGCACTTCTAGGGTGCCAGAGCACGTCCAGGCCCTGAAACTGAGCTTTCAGAACTCCAGAGCTGGGAGAGAGATGAGAAAACTGGACCCTACACCTCCGCGGGGGAGCCGAAGCATAAGGCTTCCCACCTGAGCACCTCTGACCGCAGAGACTGGTGGTGAGGGCGTTGGCCACTGCTTCTCCTATTAGTAGTTATCTCCTGGGCTCCAGTGTTTGTTTTTTAAATTTAATCCGAGCTCCATAGCACATCCACTAGAACTTTCATGTGCACGCAGATCACCTAGGAATCTTACTGCAAAGCAGGTGCCGGGTGAGGCCCAAGGTCCTGCATTTCCACCAGGCTCTGAAGAGGCCGCTGCTGTTGGTCTGAGGAGGACTGGCAGCCTTCCAGGTCTTCCCTTCCTTCGGGGTTGCTTTTGGCTTTTTTTTCTGGAATCAGATAGACCTGCCTGTGAATAATTTCCCTTCTGACGTTCAAAATGTATCCATTGCAAACCACAGCATAAAATACGTTTTTTTACAAGTAGACACATATCTTGAAAGGCTGCACTTCTCAGTCTGGCTCATCACACGTTCGCGTAGAGCGTGTCAGTAAACGAGTCTAACTTTCCAGTGGTGCATGAGGATGCGGAGGGCACCTGTGTGTAAGGGACCCGCGTTCCTGCCCCTGGCTGCCTGTCCGAATCACAGGAGGGCTTTTGAAAACGCATATTCTCCCATCCCCAGACCTGATCAAAATCTGTGTTTTTTGAAGCCTCTATTTTTAAAAAAAGCTCCACGGGAAATTCCAGTAATTGGCCAGACTTAGGCAGTGCTAATACAGGCAGTGTATTTAAAATCTTGTGCTGTGAAAGCCTGCTATTGAAACAGTTTAGAACTTAACTGGTTCCCAACTAAAACAATCAGACGAAAGTTTAAAAAAAGAAACAAAAAGCTCTCACGGGGCCAAGGAGCCCCGCGGGCCGCAGGCGGGCCGAACTGGCCGGCAGCGAGCTGCGATTGGCTGAGCTTTAGCAAAAGGCACTTCTGGGTTTGAGTTGAAAATCGGTGTGACTAGCTAATAATTCATTTTGATGTTGAGCAACTGATTCAAATCATTAAGTATACAACTGAATCATTTCTCATCACAGTCCGCGTGCGCTGCGACATCGCCAAGGTGAGCTCTCCGCCGCGGCGTCTTTTCAAGGTTAAGAGTCACCTTCTCTGGTTTAGGAAGCTGTGTCTCCTCCCGCGTCTACTCACTCTGATCGGTGTTGATGGTCAAGTGTGGCTTCGCCGTGGGAGTCATCCTCAGGCTCCAGGCCATTGGTCACTTCCAGTCCTACGAAGACGTTTTCCCCACCGATCTCCGGGAGCGCGACTTGCTGGCCTGCCAGATGGTGGCGCTTCTAGGACCAGTGGGGTCCGGGGTCTTGGAGGCGTGTCTTGCGCTAGCTCGGTCTGTGTGCAGGCGTCAGAAGCATCAGTTCCTTCGTGCTTGTCGAGCACGCTCCCCAGCCGCGCCACCTCGTGTCCTCGCGGACCGATGTCTTTCATGTGATGCTCGCACCTGCCACGCGGCAGGACGGCAGTTTGTGGTGGTGAGGACACGTGCCAGCGTGTAGGCCCCCGACGGACTCGCGCTGGCTTCTGTGGGCCGCAGTCGCCGTGGTGCTCACTGACTTGTTTATTCCTAGGGAATGTCACTAGTGCATCTGGGTCTCAGATGGCAAGCGGCGTCAGCCTGGTCTCCTTCAACAGCCGGCCCGACGGCATGCACCAGCGCTCCTACTCAGTCTCCAGTGCGGACCAGTGGAGTGAGGCTACGGTCATTGCAAACTCGGCCATCAGCAGCGGTAAGAGGGGCACAGCCCCACGGACCCGCAGCTCCTCCAGCTCCTCGGGTGTAAGCCAGGGCTCATGCTGTGCTCGGTGCACGTGGCCAGGGGCCCCCACGGCAGCTCACCTCGTGTGTGCCGCGTGCGTGGCTCGGCTGTCTCACCCACGCCATCTTTTCTGTTCCTCTTTGGTGCAGGGAGTATTCATCCTGATAGACAGCTTCGGGCACTGAGGCCACGGACAGGGTCATATGGCCAGGAGGGGCAGCGGAGCTAAGCGAGGAAGTCAGATTTTATGTCCCCAGTCACCCTGCCCCACGCAGCGTGGCCCACCCCTTCAACCATGGTGCACACTCTGTAGTCAGGATTCATTCATTCTCCTTGTCAGTTTTCTGAGACTCCCGGTATGCCCTCTAAGTCTGGAGTGTCCCCTCTGCAATCTCTCAGTCCTAGACTTCCTTCAACTTAAAAATTTTTTGACAAGTATGGCCAGCTTCTTGGGACAAACGTGCACACGGGAAACTGTCTCCGTACATGTGCAAACATGAATTCTGCAGCAGAGAGGGAGGGCACACGGGCTGGCTGAGTGTGCTTTGCCTGTGGCACTTCGTCTATGGCCTGTTCACCGGTATTTAAAGGAATTCCCACTGTTGTATGTAATCTGTCAGACAGGGTTTTAGAGTAATTTTAGCATAATTTGTTCTAATTAAGAGATTCAGCATCAGGTCTTCCCTGTAGACCCACCAGCTGCTGCGGCAGGACGTGTGCTTTGGGTAAACATCATCCTTATTTGTAGTGGCTCCGCGTTGCCAGCCCAAATGAGAGGACGAGGTGGAGGCAGGAAGGGCAGTCCACGGGAGGCCACAGCACGGTCTGGAAAACCCGGGGGCTCAGAGCCCATAGGCAGAGCACCAGCCCGGGCCCCCACATTCCCACTCCCAGCCGCTGGCTCCTCCTTCACTCAGAAGACAATGCTTCGGTAGAGAGCAAGCGTCTGCCTTCAGCCTCTCGGGAAGATCTTTAGGGCTTTCTTCCTTTCGTCTGGAATCACGGTGATACCTGGAAAACCGCAGTGATGGGTGTTTTAATCACTCCGGTTCATTCCCCCATGCCCTGTGTGCCCTGCAAGGCCTGGGCCCGTGAGCACTGCAGCCCTGAGCCAGCAGCCTCACCTCTGGGCCTCTGTTCCCATCTCTGCTCAGGCCAGGGTCTCCCTCCTGCGCGTTGTCAGCAGGCACATGACACAGGCACGTGTTAACATGGCTTCTGGTGCTGAACACCTGCTGTTCTCCTGTGACGTTTTAAGGGGGAGCCGGTAATTCATGTGCTGAATTGTCGTATGCGTCAAGTACTGCAGAACGCTGGTTATTCTTTAATGACCGTTCAGTAAGGTTTCCTGCAGAGGTGTGCTCACGTAGAGCTGCGTTAGGGCACAAGGGGCTTGAGCTGGGCCTTCCCAGCCTGCTGCACACATGGGGTCAGCGAAGCCCTTCCTTGTCAGGCAGCCTCTGCCTTCTAGAACTTTCCTCCTTAGAGTGGGAGCTGTGGTCCTAGGACCCAGCAGCCCGCGGTTAGCAGCCCTCTGGAGAGTAGGTTGCAGCTGAAGTTTGAGGACCACTGCCCTACCTGCCTGTGATGAGGGGACAGCCCAGCTGTGGCAGGTACCTCAGTGGGTCATCAAGTGGCCAGGTCCTGGGGTTTGTAACGAACAGCAGGGTGCAGGACTTGGGCGACTTCGAGAAGGTGTGTTTTAGATGGGACTGCAGCCGCAGTCTGATTAGAGGGATGGCATATTTAGTTTCTGCTGCTTATGTGCTACGGGAGTTAAATTTGGGGGGAAGGGCAGATTCAGAGAATAAACCCTGAAAGAGCCCATCGCCCCAAACCTGCCTCCGTCATGGCTGAGTTTCTTACAGAAGGGGCACCTCCGGCCACGTGCCTGTCTGACATCCTTGCGCACACGTTTCCCCTTTGCAGTCAATCTCTTGGGTAGAGACATACTAGATAACCCTCCCTTCACTCACCAGCTCTTCATGCTTAGTTACTCACACGTGCAGGGGCATTTCCACACTGCCAGACTGTGAGGCCGTGTGATTTCCTGACCCCTGATTTGGCCAGACTTCTCTTCCACAAGAGCAGGCCACATGAGTCTGTGCGGGCATATCTATAGAGTACCTTTTAGAAACTGAAGTCACTGTCTTTTGAATGTTGTTTGTGACCTCACGGAGAAATGTCCTGTATGTTTACACACTGGGGCATGCATTGAAGGCCAGGGTGCTTCCTAACCCCACAGCTCACGCGTGCACAAGGGACATAAGAGATGCTGGTGCGTGTCCAGGCCTCGGCTGCTCTGAGGAACCTGGGTACAGAGCAAAGGAAGCCCAGGGCAGGAGACGCACAGGTAGTTTAGGGTCGGTGGGTATGCAAGAAAAACGTCCCAAGGAGACTCAAACTTGATCTCCACTTAGAGAACCTGATGGATTTGTGTGGGTGCATGCGAAACAGCAGGAGGAAAGTTATTACAAGCATTGGGGTGATTCGGACAAAGACCCAGAGCGGGAAAAGGAAGAATGGAACCGCCGAGGAGCTGTAGTGAAGTGTGAAAGGGGTTAGTTGGGGTGCGGCCAGACGCAGAGAGATGAGAGGAAGAGCTGGGTGCTGGGGGCCGGTGTGGTCCAGGTAAACAGCATCTCGCTGAGAATTAGGACCGACCTTTTAAAGAGCAAAGATTCAGACAGACAACAGAGAGGAGCCCGAGGTGTGATTCCTGCAGTGTTACAGGCACCTTGGAGGCCTGTATTTCTGAGGGCTTGATACCTTGTCATACCCAAAATATTGTTTGAGAGGAAAACAGGGACGTTTTACAGGAAGAGCTAACGTTCACAGAGAGCTTCGTGCATGGGGTTGTGGGTTGTCTCCGTCCTCATGGTGGGTACTGTGGGGATCCTGCTTTGCAGATGGGAGCGACTGGTTCGGGGGTGAACTGTGGCCTGCTCAGAGTCTCATCCTGGTCAGGCCCAGCCCAGGCTTCAGCTTCTATGAAGCCAGCAGCCTGCGCCCTGGGACGCCCTTCCCAGACCCTCGGGTCCTAGGACCCGGCAGCCCGCAGTTAGCAGCCCTCTGGAGAGTAGGTTGCAGCTGAAGTTTGAGGACCACTGCCCTACCTGCCTGTGATGAGGGGACAGCCCAGCTGTGGCGGGTACCTCAGTGGTTCATCAAGTGGCCAGGTCCTGGGGTTTGTAACAAACAGCAGGGTGCAGGACTTGGTGGGCAACTTCGAGAAGGTGTGTTTTTAGATGGGTTTCAAGCCCTCAACTTTGCCAAGAACAGTGCCTGCGGAGCTCAGAAATCAACATAAGAGAAACAAACAGAACTGGGCCCTCTTCCTTGTTGCAGCTTATACAAGCGCCTACCATCTGCCTTAATCATCTTCCCTACCCCCTCCCCAGCTCCAGTCTCTCCCTTGGTTGTCAGTCGTGAAGAGCTTGCCCCATGCCGGCAGCTTTCGAGAAGGAATGTCCACGCTTCAGCCAACGTGCCTTCCTGCAGTCACTCGCCTGTACTGCAAGGCATGATCTTAACAGCAGCATTGGGAATCAGTTTTGCTCGACCCCTTTGTCCGTCCTAAATTAAGACTTTGGCTCCGGAGAACTTCTCAAAGTCTTCGGCTGCCGACACACGGTCCCCCCGGGGGGTTCTGCCTTTTCCG